CGGGGGGGGGGGGGGGGGGGGGGGGGGGGGTCCGTCTTTGCAGGATTCGCCTTCCTCACTTGGTCTCTTTTCCGTAAATGTTAGTTAACTGACACGGAGCAAGGCCCTGGGTGACCAGTCTGCCAGGCCTGGTCCCAGCACACACGGGGCTCAAGTCTAGTGGGGAAAGTGATGGGCAAGGAAATCCTGCCAGTGCGTAGGCTGAGCTCCGATGGAGCAAGTACAATGGGCGCGCTGGGGGTCTCAGCTGTGACACCCTGTCCTGCCTTACGAGGTCTGCCTCTGCGGGGCAAGCGGGGCTCCGCCAGGCACAGAATGGCAAACAAGGCCCAGACAGGGGGTGGAGAGGCCTGGAGGCAATCACAAGACACTGGGAGGGCTCTGACGCTGGGGCTGGGGTGGGGGTTGAGGTTACCCTTTGGCCAATGGGAAACCTGGGGTTTTAGGCAGAGGATGACGTGGTCAGATTTGGTTTTAGGAAACTTATTTGGGCTGTGTGCAGAATGACCCGGAAGGGCAGCGATCCAGGCAGGGCGACCGGTTAAGACGGGGGGCCTGGGCTAGAGTCAGGGAGGTGAGGAGGAGAAAAGACAATTTAGCCTCTCTGAGGAGGTGGAAGCAACAGAACTTAGGGACCCGTTCCCATGCCAGGGGCCTGGGGACCCGTGGGCCAACGGGGGAGCTGAGGAACCCAGGGGGAAGGAAGGTCAGGCCTGGGGGGAGGGGAACAGCATGAGTTCAGCCATCTTGTGTCTGCAGCTCACAGCCAGACCCGAGCTCCCCAGGGACCAACGCTATGCCTCCCTCTTCTTCATAAACACACAGTAGCAGCACAGCCCCTGGCCTGGCCCCAGTGCCTCAGCGCCTGGTCTCTGGCAGCTCCCGGCTCCTTCCCTTCCTTGCTTCCAGGCCCCTTCTTCCTGTGCCCCAAATAACAAAAGGCCACAGGCTTAGAGGGACCCTGGGGCTTCTGTACAGCATTTTACAGGGTGCAGAAAGCACTTCCTCAGCTGTGCCTCTGCAAGGGTCCACAGGGCTGAGAGTACTCCTCCCCATGCTAACGACAGAGGTTCAGCGGGTCAAGGAACACCGTCCAAGCTCACACCGCTAAGAAATGCCAGAGTGGGGACTCGAACTCAGGTCTCCAAACTCCGAGTTCTGAGTTCTTCCCCCCACCCCAAGTTACAACTTCACGTACAAAACTGCTCCACACAATCAAGGGGGTAGAGCTGAGAGGCCTGGAGGGAGGGAGAGAGGCAGGGGCAGGGGAGTCAACACCCCCTGGCCACGGATGTGCCCTCTGCCCACCTGCTCACCTCCTCCCTCAGCTGCTCGTTCTCCTCCTCCAGCAGCCTCAGCTGCTCCTGCAGGGCTTCCAGCTGCGGGCAGTCATGTAGGACCTCCATCTCCCGCAGACAAGTCCTAGGGGTGAGAGCCACAGAAGCCAGGGGGTGGGGGACCCAGGTCCCAGCCCACCCGGGGGCTGCCCACCCGGGCTCAGTGTGGCGGTCTCCATTAGTCCCAGCAACCCTGCCGGCAGGTGCACCGTCAGTGTTCCTGTTTGCACACAGGGAAACTGAGGCACAGAGAAGGGGCTGCCCAGGTGAAAAGGCAGGACACTCACGGCTCAGGGGCTCCATAGGAATGATAGTGCTGCTGCTCTTCCTCCTCCGGCTCCTCCTCCTCTTCTTCCTCCTCCTCCTCCTCAGAGTCTGAGTAGAGCTGAAGGAGGTCATCTCTCAAGCTCACCTGGTATCTGAGGTGTAAAATCTGGCAGTGGGGGAGAGGGGCCCTGTCGGAACGCAGGCAGGGGCGAGCACAGGTCCAGGCACGGGGCGGGGTGGGGGTGCTGTAGGTAGGTCTGAGATGGCACACTCCCTCCCCTCCTCCCTGCCCGGTTACGTCCTCCCTGGCTGAGCCCAGCATGGCTTCCAGTTTGCTGTGCTCCCCCATCAGAACACTGTTCTGTCTCACCAGGGACTGGCCAATGCAAACTGCAGTATTTAGGTCCCGCTCTCTCTGCAGAGGGACCCCCATCCACGGGGAATACTTTCCTGTTTTCTGGGCTCTCCCAGACAGGTGGGAGAAGCAAGGGAGTACACAGGGGTCAAAGGGAAGCTAGGCCACTAGGGGAAACCTTCCCCACACCCTAGTTTTCCAGGGTACTAGAAAAAAGTCTGCCATCGACACACTGTGGGGCCTGACTCAGCTTCCCCTTATGGAGAAGAGCACATCAGACCAGATGGCTCTACAAGCAATTCCGGCCTGGATATCCGGCATATACCTGCCTTCCATAAGAGGGACCCCTGGCTCGGCTCCCAGAGAAATAATCAAGCAGGAAAAAGACAAGACTGCTACCCCTCCAGGGGAGAATGAAAACAGAGGCCTGGCTAAGGCTCAGGCTGGGCTGGACAGGGAAAGCAGTACACAGCTTCTCTAGCAAATTTAACATCACTTTGACATCTTCTTGGGTGATCCCGGCTGGTGGGGGTTGGTCAGGGCACAGCGCTGCAAAAGCAGGAGTGGAGGCCAAGGTGGGAAAAGGGAGGACATATGCTACCCCACATCCCACTGTTTCTTACCCGATCCTCAGTTCTCCCTCAACAAGAGTCAGCGACAAGAGAGCTCCCTTCCTGCCCCCACTATTCTCTCCAGACACCCCCAGTACCCAGCACTCCTTTCCCCTGCTCCCAGGGCCAAATGGGCTCTTTTGTGCCCTGGAGGGGCCTGGGTGAGGTCAAGGGATCACAGTCCTCCAAGCTCAGGTGGAAATGAGTTCTCAGGACGCCCGGGTCCCTGGTACCAGGGGAATGAATGCAGGAGGCTAGCGACAGTACAGCCCCAGACTGACTCATCACCTCTTACCCGGAGGGCGCTCTCGGCCGACTGGAGCCTCATGGGTCATGAAACAGACGCAGTCACCCACCCTGCACCTGTTGCGTGTGGAGAGGCGGGAGAGACTTTTCCAGCACGCAGTAGGGGCTCCTGAGCCTCTAGACCTAATCCAGAGATCTCCCGCGACCCAGGAGAGGGTACAAGGGGAAGAAACCTGAGGCCCCGCCCACCCCGAGGCTGGGGAAAAGCCGGGCTTCGACACCCGCAGCCAAAAGGTTGACAAAACCTTCCCACCCACCTCCGCCCACCCACCTCCCCAGCTTGGTGCGGCGGGCGAGCACACGCTCAGAGCGAGCCTGGCAGCGCCCTCCCGCAGCCCCCCGCCCCTCTCCTGGAATTGCGATTGACTGCGTGGGGCGGGGCAGGGGGAACTGTGAGAGTGCGCAGATCTGGGGAGCAACAGGCGCGCAGAGCCGGGCGGACGAGCGCGCGGGTGCGCCGACTTGACCCTCCGACAGCAATCAGGGGACGACAGAAGGTTGGAGAAGAAGGCCAAGAGGCGTCCGAACAGGCACCGCAGTGACAACGCAAGTGGGTGGAAGGGTGAGACTGAGCGCCAGAGGGGGCGGGGTGCCTGGAACCGCCCCCCCCCCCCCCCCCCGCCCTTCTGCCTGGAAATACCCAGGTCCCACCCGCTCTGGGGTCCCGGGGACCCGGTTTACCTTCCTCCAGCTCCCGAATAAAGGCGGCGTGCTCGGGGCCCGACACCCCAGGCCGCTGTCCGATGTAGGCAGCCGGCGTCTTCCAGATGCCCGCCGCCTTCTCAGTCCCCAGGCCAGTGGCCCGGGGACCAAAGGGCCCTCGGAATGTGAAGCGAGTCCACTGCGCGTCCGAGTTGCCGGGCCCAAACTGAGCATTCCGCTGGGCGGCTGCGAATGCGGACGCGCGCGGTGTTCCTGTCGGGGATCCAGCCTTGGAGGTCGGGCGAGCTCCGGCGGGGGCGGGTACCGAGACGGATGGGGATCTGGATCCCGTTCGCGGTCCTTCCGTCAGTGCCTGCGCAGGGGCGGGTGCAGGCTGCGCTGAGGGCTCTGGAGAGGAATGGGCTGTGGGTGGGGGTGCGGGGGTGACTCCCGCTGGAGCCGGGGTTCTGAAGCGGTGCCCCACGAGGCCCTGCCCGGGCTCTTTCGGGCGCATCTTGAGTCCGCAGTCTGCTTCCGCAGCCCCGCCTTTATAACCTGCGCCTGGAGTGCTCGCCCGCCGGCCCGTACCACGCGCAGGAGGGGGCAGCCAGGGAGCAACCAGTGGTGCCCGGGACTGGGAGTCGCGCGCGAGGGGACGGAGGTGGTGGAGCAGAGCGCAAAAAATCAGAACAAGGAGAGAGTCGAATGGAGGTTCCGGCCGGTTCCATGGGCTTGGTTCCGAGTGCAGGGTTTCTACTCTCCTCTCCACCTCCGGAGAATGGTTCTGCCCAAAGTCGCGGCTTCCCCGGACTTCGGGTACCGGGACTCCGAGGTCCCTACCTGGGGGGCACAGCCTCCCTCCATTCCCGCGGGGGTTGCCGGCTGCCCTCCCTGGATGTGATCTGGGAGTTAGCGCAGGGTAGTGCTTTCCCCGGTGGCTGGGAGATGCATCCCGACCCTAGGACTGTTTCAACGCGCTGCCCAGTCCTGCGCGTCACACGCTGGTCCTCGCGCTCACGCTCCCGGGGCTCCAGCCGTTCGACAGCCCTTCTTCTTCTTTCTTAATTCGTCTTACTACCTTTCCTCGTGCTTTACCTCTAGCCCTCATTCGCTTCGCCCACCTCCTTCCACCCTGGCAAACACCTGTTCTTGCTGCAGACCCCGCTTAGAGGGCTCCCCCTGAAGACTCCTCCAACCTCGTCCCCTGTGGCCCCAGAGCGTCCCTCATCCGGCGGCCGGCAGTGCTCAAGAGTGTGTCTATTTCCAATCCAGACCTGCGCCCCTTCAGCGCAGGGAACGGGTCCCTCAGAGTGCACCACGGGAGGCGGGCCGAGGAGTCGTGGGGCCATTTCTGTGCCTTTAGACTAGAAGAACCTGCAGGCCCAAAAGAGATGGTTATGGCACTAATTCTTCTTCTTCTTTTTTTTTTTTTTTAATGTTTACTGATTTTCAGAGACAGCGCAGGGGAGGGACAGAGCGTGAGAGCATGCCCACCCACGAAGGAGGGGCAGAGAAAGAGAGGGAGGGATAGAAGGAATTCCAAGTAGGCTCTACGCTGTCAGCACAGAGCTCAACGCAGGGCTCTGTATGGTGAACCGTGAGATCATGACCTCAGAATCAAGACTTGGATGCTTAACCGACTGAACCACCCAGGCGCTGTCTTATCTTCTCACTGTGGTCCTCACGTAGTGGAAGGGTGGAGGGAGCTCTCTGGGGCTTCTTTTATAAGGCCACCAGTTCCCACGCCTGAGGGTTCCCCCCTCAAGACCTAATCACCTCAGAAAGGCCGCACCTCCTAACACCATCGCCCTGGGGGTTAGGATTTCAACATGAATTGCAGGGGGACACCAACACTTAGACCATAACAACCCTATCACTCTTTAAAAACAAAACAACAGCAATAACAAAAACCCACCAGCTTTTGGGGCGCCTGGGTGGCTCAGTCGGTTAAGCGTCCGACTTCAGCTCAGATCACGATCTTACAGTTTGTGAGTTTGAGCCCCACGTCTGGCTCTGTGCTGACAGCTCAGAGCCTGGAACCTGCTTGGGATTCTGTGTCTCCCTCTCTCTTTGCCCCTCCCCTGTTCATGCTCTCTTTCTCTCTCAAAAATAAACAAACATTAAAAATAATAATAATAATATTTTATTTAATCCGGTATCTCCAATACTGATACATGAATTCAGCAAAGTCGCAGGGTACAAAATCAATGTGCAGAAATTGGTTGCATTTTTATATATCAATAGTGAAGCAACAGAAAGACAAATAAAGAAACTGATCCCATTCACAATTGCACCAAGAATCATAAAATACCTAGGAATAAACCTAACCGAAGAGGTAAAAGATCTGTATGCTGAAAACTAGAGAAAGCTTATGAAGGAAATTGAAGAAGACGCAAGGAAATGGAAAAGCATTCCATGCTCATGGATTGGAAAATAAATGTTGTTAAAATGTCAATACTACCCAAAGCAATCTACACATTCAATGCAATCCCAATCAAAATTGCACCGGCAGTCTTCGCAAAGCTAGAACAAACATTCCTAAAATTTGTATGGAACCACAAAAGACCCCGAAGAGCCAAAGTAATACTGATGAAGAAAACCAAAGCAGGAGGCATCGCAATCCCAGACTTTAGCCTCTACTACAAAACTGTAATCATCAAGATGGTATGGTATTGGCACAAAAACAGACACATGGACTGATATAGAGAATCCAGAATTGGGCCCCCAAATGTATGGCCAACTAATTTTTGACAAAGCAGGAGAGTATCCAATGGAAAAAAGACAGTCTCTTTAGCAAATGCTGCTGGGAGAACTGGACACCAACAGGCAGAAGAATGAAACTAGACCACTTCTTACGCCATACACAAAAATAAACTCAAAATGGATGAAAGACCTAAATGTGAGACAGGAAACCATCAAAACCTTAGAGGAGGAAACAGGCAACAACCTCTTTGACCTCAGCCGCAGCAATTTCTTACTCGACACATCTCCAAAGGCAAGGGAATTAAAAGCAGAAATGAACTATTGAGACCTCATCAAGATAAAAAGCTTCTCCACTGCAAAGGAAGCAATCAACAAAACTAAAAGGCAACCTACGAGAAGATATTTGCAAATGACGTATCAGATAAAGTGTTAGTATCTATAAAGAACTCACCAAACTCCACACCCTAAAAACAAATAATCCAGTGAAGAAATGGGCAGAAGACATGAATAGACACTTTTCCAAAGAAGACATCCAGGTGGCCAGCAGACACATGAAACACTGCTCAATGTCACTCCTTATCAGGGAAATACAAATCAAAGCCACACTGAGATACCACCTCACACCGGTCAGAGTGGCTAAAGTGAACAAATCAGGAAACTATAGATGCTGGTGAGGATGTGGAGAAACCGGAACTCTCTTGCACTGTTGGTGGGAATGCAAACTAGTGCAGCCGCTCTGGAAAACAGTGTGGAGGTTCCTCAAAAAATTAAAAACAGAAATACCCTATGACCCAGAAATAGCACTGCTAGGAATTTACCCAAGGGATACAGGAGTGCTGATGCATTGGGGCACATGTACCCCAATGTTTCTAGCAGCGCTTTCAACAATACCCAAATTATGGAAAGAGACTAAGTGTCCATCAACTGATGAATGGATAAAGAAGATGTGGTTTATACATACAATGGAATACTACTTGGCAATGAGAAAGAATGAAATCATGCCATTTGCAGCAACGTGGATGGAACTGGAGGTATTATGCTAAGTGAAATAAGTCAGAGAAAGACAGTTATATATTTTCACTCATATGTGGATCTTGAGAAACTTAACAGAAGACCATGGGGAAGGGGGAAAAATGGTTACAAACAGAGGGGGGGAAGCAAACCATAAGAAACTTAAATACAGAGAACAAACTGAAGGTAGATGGGGGAGAGGGGAAAGTGGGTGATGGTCATTGAGGAGGGCACCTGTTGGGATGAGCACTGGGCGTCGTATGTAAGCCAATTTGACAATAAATTATATTTTTAAAAAATAAAATAATAATAATAAATAAAAATAAAATAATATAATAATTTTTATTTAACCCAATATCTCCAAAATATTATCATTTAAACATGTAATCAACATAAAAAATTATGAAGGAGATTATATTTTCCATTTTTTATAATGAATTGAGTGCATTTTATTCTTACGGCCCATCTCAGTTGAGACTCCAATTCATTATTCTCTTTATTTTTCTAAATATAATTTGTCTTTTTTCCACTATATACCTTTAAATTTTTTTTCTCTTCATCACTGGGTTTCATCAATTTGATCATGATGTGTCTTAGTAGGATTTTTCTTTTATCCTTCTTGGGGCTGATCGAGCTTCTTAGATTTGAGGGTGTATAGCTTTGATCAAAATTTGGAAATTTTTCAACTCTTATTTCTTTTTTTTTTAATATTTATTTTTATTTTCGGTTGGGGGGAGCACAAGTAGGGGCAGGGAAGAGAGACAGGGATAGAGGATCTGCAGCTGGTTCTGCAATGACAGACTGACAGCAACAAGCCCAATGTGAGGCTCGAACTCACGAACCGTGAGATCATGACCTGAGTCGAAGTTGGCCACTCAACTGACTGAGCCACCCAGGTGCCCCATCAACTTTTATTTCTTTAAATATTTTTTTTTCTGAACCCCACTTCTGGGATTTCAATTACATGTATGTTAGACCACTTGATACTGAACCACAGACACTAGGACTCTGTTCATTTTCTTTTTCCAGCCTTTTTCTCTCTGTCCTTCCGTTTCAGTTGTTGTGACTGGTATATCTTCAAGTCCACTGATTTTTTCTTTTAAGGACATTATTTTACAGGAATCTCTACACCCAACATGGGGCTCAAAGTTACAACCCCAAGATCAAGAGTCACATGCTCTACTGACTGACCTGAGCCAGCCAGGTGCCCCTCCACTGACTTTTTAATCTTCTTTTAGGCCATTCAGGAACTTTTCATTTCTGATCATGTATTTTCCAGTTCCAGGCATGCTAGTTGGTCCTCATTTGCATCTTCCATTTCTCTCCTTATTATACTCATATATTTTTTTTAATCCTTGTACTTAGCTATAAGGAATTTTTAGAAGTCTTTCTCTGCCATCATCTCTGTCATTTGTGGGTCTGTTTTTATTGACTGATTTTTCTCCTGTCTACAGGTCACATTTTCTACATCTTTCTTGCTCAATAATCTTTTGGATGCCGGATATATTGTGGATGTTACATTGCTGAGATGCCAGCTTTTTATCCTCCTTTGTTGGGTTTCATCTTGCCAGGCAGCTAAGTTGTGGATCAGCTTGATCCTCTTGAGGCTTGTTTTTAAAGTTTTATAGGGCAGATCCAGAAAGGTCTTTACTCTAGAGATATTTTAGCCCTATTACAAAGGAGTAATCTTTCTGGGGTGTCTACTGAATGCCCCAAATATTCAGTGAGGACTCTCCTCACTGGCTGATCAGAACCTAAACATTTCCCAGCCCTGTGTGAGCTCTGGGAATTCACGTACGACTTTCTGGGAGTTGTTCTCTCCCCGGTGGATATTCTTTTCTCAGCCTCATGGAGTCTC